TTTTTTCATGCAAAGGCAAACCGTGCTATGTGCTTTTCTGGCTGTCCTTTAAAAAGCTTTACTTAATCTCTCAGGTTAAAAAGTGATAAAACTCATGGCTTGAGATAAAGACAGTTAATAGGTAAAGCAAAGCTGCACACAAGCAAAGCAAAATCAGGAATGCAGTAACTGCTTCTTGTTAGCAGATATCTAGTTATTTCTAGGAAAGCAGAGTGTCGTCAGGTCTAGCTGTTTTTTAGTAAGACAACTCTACTATTTCCTTTCCTCTTTCTTTTGCTCAGTTTTTATTGCTGAGTGTGACATCATGGCTGTGTCCCCTCCCATCTTCTTGTGTATTCTCCTCTTTTATTCACTAGAGGGCAGCATGAGAAGCAGGGAAGACCAACACTGTGTTTTTAATACTGTTTTTGTCACAAATCCTAAGCATAGTACCACATCTACTACAAATGAAGTCAACTTTGTCCCACAAAATCAATACTGATGCACAACCTACTCTTCACCAAACCTAGTAGATGAGCAGAATATGGTAAACAGGGACAGAAACTTAAATTCTTCGGATAAGAGAGTTCTAGAATCTAGAAAATACGTGTAAAAGCAACCAACTCTTCACTAATTAAATTGTGCTGACTGTTGGGACTGTTAGTTGCAAATGCTTGGTGACTAGTGAGGCCTGCAAAAGCCTGAGACATAAGCTATTTTGCTTCTATGTATCAGTAAGCATGAATGTGACTCAATGATTGCAGTGCTTTTCATCACTAATCTGTAAATTTCATAGTGCTCTTCTGAGTGGAACTATTGACTGTTTTTGCATTTCAGTGCAACTCTGAAATAAGGCACTGCTGAAATGCAAAAATGAGAGAACTTCATGGTTGGTTTTTCAGGACTTATGCTCATGATATGTGCAAACACACATGCAGATGGGATCATCATGTATTTTGTAGAAGTCCATTAACTAGAATTAGACTGTCAGTGTGGAAAGCAGTGGTACTCACAAAAAATGCCAGTGAAAACTGACCTTTTGTATTCTTTTGTAACAACTGTGGTTCATAAGACCATCAGGAGCAGCAGGGTTCCTCCAGTGAAAGAAACACAAATTAATAGAGATTGATTAAATGGAACACCTACAGAATTCTCTATACGTCTCAACTCAATCTCATTAATGTTTTTGAGTTAATGCTCTTTTCTGTAAGTGAAGTCTGTTTTTTCAAAATTTATTCCCCAAAATCTGGAAAGCGTGTTGTAAAATGCCATTTCAAACAAATTAATTCTTACTTTTAGATGTATTTTTCCTAAACAGTTCCCCCAAAGGGGATTGATATGCAATGATACGCAATTCAATTTGCCTGAGTGGATGTACACTGGTATGATTGTGTCCTTGTTTTGGCTGAGGTAAGAGTTAAGTTTCTTCACAGTAGTGGTATGATGCTATGTTTTGGATTCAGAGGAATAGCATTGATAACATACTGATGCTTTGATTGTTGCTAAGTGGTGCTTACTCTAAGAAAGTACTTTTTGGATTCTCACACTTCCCTGCCATAAAGGAGCTGGGGGGCACAAGAAGCTGGGAGGGGGTAGAACAGGACAGGTGACCTAACTTGGCCACAAGGATATTCTGTATGACATCATGCTGAATAATAAAACTGGGGAATTAGCTGAGGGGACAGCCACTGCTTGGTCTGTCTGAGCATTAGTCCTTGAATACTGAGTAACTGCCTGTGCATCACTTGTTTTTGTGTGTATATATGTAAAACTATTATTTTTTCCCTTCCATTTCTGTCTTATTATAAACTGCTTTTGTCTCAATCCAGAAGTTTTACTGTTTTCCAGTTCTCCATCCCACTTTAGGGGTGAGGGGTTAAGTAGCTTTATGGTACTTAGCTGCCTGCCAGGTTAAACCACAACAAAAGGAGGTGAAGATGTGGAGGATCATATTGTGGCAGAATATGTTTTTTTTAATAATTTCTTTTAAGTTGTGAATTGATATTTTGGAGTGAAAAAATGACTACATATAATTAGAGTAAAAATGCACAGGTTAAAAATAGCATGATTGGGATGTATGATCTATGATCTTTTTATTACATGTATGCTTTTTTCTAATAAAGCTACAATTAATATTTTTTAAAAATCAAGTATTGGGCTTTAGTTTTCTTTTACTTTCACTCTTAAAATTGCATTGAGATGTTTGTATTGAGAACCAACTGAGGAATAACTGCTACACTGGAGAACTTCAGCGGAAGGAACTGTTCACAAATATGTAACTGCAAATTTTCTCTCCTTTTATGAGACAAATGGCCTCCCTTACAGATTAAAAAGCTTGTAGATTGTGACACTGAGATGTATGTAGTAGGCTCAGTAAATAACCAAAAATCACAGAATTGCAGGAGTAGGAAAGGACCTCTAGTGATCATCGAGTCCAACCCCCCTGGCTGAAGCAGGTACCCTACGATAGGTCACACAGGTAGGTGTTCAGCTGGGTTTTGAATATCTCCACAGAAGGAGACTTCACAACCTTTCTGGGCAGCCTATTCCAGTGCTCTGTCACCCTTACCATAAAGAAGTTCTTCCGCATGTTAGTATGGAACTTCCTATGTTCAAGTTTTAGGCCATTGCTCCTTGTCCTATTGCTATGCACCACTGAGAAGAGTGTGGCCTCCTTCATTTGCTTCACACCAAAAGGGAAAATTAAGTATTTAGCTGTTAGCTGAGAATAGGGCTGATCTCTATCAGCCTATGTATGATTTTGCTTCTATCAGCACTTTAACTGCTGGGATTGTTTTTCTTAACCACACTAAATTGTTGATAAGCACCATCTTGATTCTCAGTTTCCAGGCTAAGGTATCACAAAATACTTTCTCTTGTGACATGTGCTAGGATCAAGCTAAAGTTTCTCACAGCTTAATTAGCCAATAAAGTAATATTTTGCAAGGCACTTTTGGAACAAAACCAAACTTTATCCACTGTCTTTTTTCCTTCTGCAACTTATGAGATTTGAAGTACTTTTTTTTTTAAGTGATGCCTACTACTGTCTTGTAATGGTTCTGTTGTAACCTTTCACATTGTATTTAGTGCCAAGTTATCATGCTCAAAAGAAGTCAAAATGAGCCTTCTGACAGCTAACTCATCTGTGTTGTGTAATAAGCAGACAGCTATGTAAATACTTGCTTTAATGTTTATTATAAGTTTAGTTCTTACACCAGTATCTTTCTCTGTTCATATATCCTGTATCTTCTCTATTCCTCCCCTAGCCGTGGACTTATGAAGAAGACAAGAAACTGAAATCAGGAGTAAGGGAGTTCGGAGTGGGCAACTGGACTAAAATTCTCATCCATGGTGACTTCAACAACCGAACCAGCGTCATGTTGAAAGATCGGTGGAGAACACTGTGCAAGATCAAATAAGGATACTTTGGACATAGCATTTGATTATTTTTGTGCTTTCCCTACGTATGGAGCTTGTCTAGCTGTTCAGAGTGATGTATTTATAGTCTCAGGAGTATCCAAAAACATTGTCCTAAAACATGAAAAAGGTGTAATAAAGTCTGGCCTTCTGTCTGCATGCAAGAGGTAGGTTAATTTATGCAATGTGGAAATGTTTAGTGTGGTTACGTAGGTAGGAGTCTTAAGTGGCAACATATTAACTTTATAGATGCTCTTAATAAAAAGTCAAGTGCTCTGTGTTTTTAAAGGGTTTTATCAGTGCAAGGTTTTATATGCAGTCAGATAGAACTCATTATCATTTTGTTTTCTACTGTAGTCTGTACTAATCTGATTTACTTCACTTTGAAATTTTGGTCTGACTTGTCATCTCTTTCAGCAGGTTATACAAAAAATAAGTACGTACTGTCATTGCCAATTTAACAAATTACATTTTTAACTTTAGCAAAAAAAAAGAAAGGAACGTCCCATATACATTTATATTTACAAGTAGTAGAAGTGCTAGATATGTACTGGAGAGAAAATATGGGATTTCTTTTTCTTTTATCAAGCTTAAGTTCTAGGAAATAACTTTGAAATCATTTATGTTGGCATAATAACAGTTCTTATCTTACAGAAAAGAGTGAAAAAGATGTGAGAAGTGATAACGATGCTAGCTCTTAACATCTCTTGATTGTCTTATGCCACCTACCTTGTCTTGAGGAGTGGCATTATTCTAGACCAGCAGGGAAGGGAAAGCTCCTTTCCTGAGCAGCCCAAGTGGGGCTCTGTTTTGGCAGTGATAGCACAGACCATGAAACATGTTTCATCTGTGCTCTGCTGTCTCTGCAGTGCTAGCAAGCAAAGACACCCTATTCTGGTTAGCTACCCGCAGTTCATCACTGTAAACATTCAGCTCACAAGAGACTCTGAGATGTTTCAGATTGTATGGAAGACAATCCCAGAACCTCAAAAAACACACATGCTTTCCACTATTGTACTGGTGTCAATCTAGATACTAGGTATTGTAGCATTCTTACAGGGCTTCTTGCATGAAGTGATGTACCATTACAAAGGTTTGTCCTATTCTCAATGTGTACAGTACCTCAAACAGATCACCTTTCTAATTCCTGCCAAATGATGCAATGTTTCTTCTTACAACCGTGGTAAGCAGTTGCTGTGAGGTTCCACAGAGATGCGCCATGTCTTAGCAGTGAATTTTCTCAGCCTTAAGGGATCTTTTTTTTTCTGTAAGCATGGTGAATCTCAGAAGCTTGATAAAATACAGTTTATGTATTTCAGCAAAGAATACTAGAGCAGCTGTAAGTCAACAATTCAAAACAAAACCAAAATCACAGCACATGTGTATTAAGTGAGAAAGCCTGCAGTATGTAGTCACTTCAATGCCCTGACAGTAATTCAGCATGAATAATAGGTAAGAAAACAAGGATTAGATCTATGTGCATAGCAGCCTTGCCTGTGTTCTAATCTTGTATGTTTCTATATTAATCACTGTGCATATAGCAGGTTTAACTAGTAGTAAGTGATTCTTCTGACTGTCAGCCAAAGCTCTAGTTATGATTGTTCATTCCTGTATGTAAGATTGTTGTTGTAGCTTGCTAATTGCTGTAATACAATCGTACTCAAGGCAGTTTACAATAAATTACCGTTCATTAAGGAAATGAGTCTCTTCAAGACTTTATTTATGGAAGTCTTGTTTAGGTTTGTCTGCCATAAAATTCACGCTGTATGCTAGTGATGTGGAGTTCTTAACAAGGCTACTTCATTAACAACACTGACTAGTCTCGTATTTTTATGAGGGTGACTAAGCAGGGAAACTGCAATGTAGACAAAGAAATACTTACGCATTCATACTATAAAACCACTGTCTAGATGATATTGGGAAGGAACAAAGGATCTAAACTGAAGTCTGGTTTTAGCTCTCAAACTTTCATTTTTATTTACCCATTACAACTTAATGATGACAGTAACTATTTCCAGACTTGAGAATGTTTGGCTGGCTCACTGCTGAATAGGATCAATGCCTGTACACAGGGGTATAGCCTGTGAAGAACAAGAACCTTAGGAAAAGAAGCTACTACAGTTAGAAACATTTGCTCTTTAATCACAGAAGAGAAATACGGAAATTTGCTTACAGCATTCAAATACAATTGTCAGTGTTTTCTATTAAGGCAAAAAGAGTACCCAAAAATGCTTGTTCCAGAGGCTTAACTCCTTTAAAGTTCATTTAGTCTCCACAAAATACAGACAAAGATGTGGGTTTCTTGGCACTTGTGCTAATTTTCTCAATTCTTTTTTCCTGATGCTGTTTAAAGGTCTTTTAAACTCTTACGTAAAAATAAAACTGTGCACAAGGGGACACGAGCACTGCTCCAGTTGCCGAATCTTCTTCCAGGTTCCTTGGCACCGAGAGTTGCCAACTGCTTCCCAGTGTAAGATTTTACCTCTGAAATGTGACAGTAAATGAGGAATAAAAAATTGGTGCATTTACAAGCAACCAAAAAAAGTATACTTATGTTCAATAACATAATTCAACAGAAGGCTAGAATTAAGACTTTAATTAGCTCATCTTGGTCTTAAAATGCTTTTGCTGTCATGTTACCTGCAAATATTCCAGAGCAGGCATTGTATTCCTTAGTATACAGGATGGTTGGTTGATTAAATGGTTATATATGTATTGTGTAGCATCTTAATAAATGTACAGTTATATAGACATACGTACAAAAGATATACACTAAATAAAAAATCTGTTGCAAATTGTAAATGTCTTATTTCAGTATCAGCATTCTAGAAACAATAAATATAGTTTAAAGCTGAAATCTGACTTGGATTATGGTGGGAAGTACATTTTTCTAAGTAAAAGAGCTCATACTTTTAAGACGACCTCTTGCACTACAGAAGTTGTGCTGTCCCTTCACAATAGTAAATAAAGCACTGAGACTTAATTCATGTATTGAAATTATTCACTGATTTTATCTGTGTTTGAAATACATTAGTTCAAAGCCATTTGTATGTGAACTGGAAGGGTAAATCTGAGCTCTGCAAGTGATACAAGCTATTTCTTTTTTTTTAGGCATAATCAACACAGCTTTTAAAGAGACCTTGTGAGCTCTAAAGTTCTGTACTAGGTTCCAATACAAAAGAGACAGCAAAGAAAGGTTTTCTTTACCCATCTGCATTATGGCCATCTCCGGAACAACGGTGTGTGTCAGTGTTCATAGCTGGAGGCTGGCAAGCTACACAAACAGTATGTCCTTCTCGGAGGTACTGCATCCATCGAGCATACGGCCGAGTCTCCAAAGCACAGTAATGGGAAAGTGATTCTGTTTTAAATTCTACACAGTATCTGCTCAGAAGGGAGAGAGTTAAATTAGCTACAATAGATAAAGCATAAGCTACAAAGGAACTTGAAATGTACTTATATATGTCATTCAGGTGGAATTTATGAAGTGAAGTGCAAGTTTGATGACTGACAGCTAAAAAGTTTGTTTCTGACCCTAACCTAATTAATGGATTCTTAAAAACATTAAAAACATTAATTGTTTCTCACATTCCGTTCCCCTGTCCACTTTATGTATTATCTCACTTTTCTGGTTGCGTTCCATATTCTTAAATTATGTTGGAGAACTTATCTCAGTAACCTGTATTTTTTCTTTCATGACTGCTAGAAGAGTAAATGCAAGAGATTCTTCAAGGGTGCCTATAAGCTTTATTGTTCTGGGCAAAGCATTATGAGCACTACGGAACCAGTGATAACACTCTGCTAGTATCCAAAAGAGGTCTTCACTGCTTTTCATTTTTTGTTAAAAACAAGCACTTAAGACAGATTGCATTTAGTCCATTTTGTTTGTTCAGAGATCTAATTTCTTGGGCTTAAACTTATGGATATATTCAGTTTTGATTTAGCCTTATTTATGGATTTGCTTTGAGAAGCATCTATCCTCAAATTTGCTGTGACCACAATAACTAATTGAGGACAATTAGCAAGTAACAAAAAACATCTAGAAAATGCAAATGACCTGCAAGAGACAAAAACAAGCTGTAGTCTGTTGAATTATGGCAAATTTAATTAAGTTTTTCTCTGTAGACAGATACTGGCTATGAAACGAGATGACCCACATGCACATGATAAATAGATTACCCAGTTTCTTTGTCAGAGGGCCAGGGGGATGATGCTGCTCTCAGTTTTCTTTCTTTACCATATTCAGAGGTAGTTATGAAAGCGGGAACTGGGGAAGAAAACAGTAAGGCAGCAAGACACAGTTGAGTCATATTTCAATTAGTGTAACAATGGATACATGAATCAGGAACTTGTGGATGGTGATGCTGACAAACTTATTGAAAAAGTGATAAAGGACTGGCAGCACTGGACCTCCCAGCTAAGTTCTCTCTGTATAAACGTCCCTAGAAATGGCTGCCATCTAGTCCACAAGGAAATAGGATGGGCTGGAATATTACAATGAGCTCTGTTTCCTTGTTTCGTAATGAACTTATGTTCTAACTTTGCAGAGAGATAGTTAATGCAGGGCTTAAATCAAGAAACTGAAGAAATGCGTGCAGCTCAGTTGTCTATTTAATAGAAATTAATTCAAAGTGAGCAGCAACTTGAAGCAGAAAATAAGGATGGAGGTGTTCAGGTTGGATGGGGTGCTGGGCAAACTGATCCAGTGGGTGGTAACCCTGCCCACGGCAGTGGGCTTGGAACCAGATGATATTTTAGATCCCTTCCAACCTAAGCCACTCTGTGATTAAGTTGCATTTTCAATCAAATAACTGCAGATTGCTGCTTTTTCTATTTCTTTACGTCAATGGAAACTATATATGATGGGGACAGGTGTCCAAATAAAGAGAGAATACCATGTTCATGTCCACAGTCCTGCCCCTGATAAGTCAGGTATTCCAAGCAGCCAGCCTTCTCCTCCAGAGCAGGACAAGGTTCCCCAGCATTTGTAGGTTCCTGTTGCACATAGCGCCTACGTATTCGCAGACTGGGTTTACATTGTTCAGCACAGCCACTCCAATGACTCCACTCCCCCACGACACATGGATGAGCTGAAAAGCAGTAGCAAACGCATAACTAATAGTTAAGACTTCTGATTGATCCTAATTGCTCTCCAAATCTGAAGTAATACAACAATGTCATGTTTTTCTTTTTTATGTGCAATTTTGATTTTGTTTACTCTCAACAATGCAGTGATGTGTGTACCGCATTTGTGTGTTTGTGTATATACAGATGTAGATAATTAAACATAATAAAATGTTTAGAAATGTAATCTCAGGTCCTTTTCTTCTGATTTCCAATTAGAGAACAGTCCACTGAATATGTGAATTTCAGTCCTCATGGATCACAGACTTTCTACGAATTTGACCCAAATGGGTACCGAAATGTTATGGGGAAACTGCCTTTATTTTGCAAGGGAACTCTGAATCATAAGAAACTACATTTCCCCCATGGTTTTGTATTCTGCGGTATTTTTCCGATGTCTGTTGTAACCTTTAGCTCACTTAGGGATTTTGACACCTTTTTTATTAAAAACCATGCAGGTCTATATATCACCAAATCACAGGGGCTGGAATGGACCTCTGCAGATCACTTTGTCTAAGTCCCTGCTAAAGCTGGTCCTGTGGAGTAGGTTGCATAGGAAAGTGTGAGCAAACAACCTACTGTGATATGAGCACTTGGTATAAAAAGCAAGCCTGACATAGAGATTGCCACCTATTTCTATCAATGCAAACCAGAACAGGCAAACACGTGTAACTCTAAATTTCAGAAAGTGTAGACAGATCATGGAAGACGGATTATTGCAGAGATTGTAAACATAGACAATTTTTACCTTTCTAAATATATCAGCTTTAGAAAGGGAAATCACTGAATGATGGACAGTGATGGAAGCACAGGCTGATTCCCAAATACACTCAGTGATGGAACATGAGGTCACCGATGAAGGGGTTGTGACATCAGCATGATGTGACCTCACTGTATAAATTCAGGTACTGTCAGACCAGCGTGGACTGGTGTCTGGACTCCAGCTGAGCGCATCTGTGAGACTTGGAGTGCTGAATGAGGCCTTGGTTGGGTTGTGCTGTTGGGCTGCTGGCATTTCTTGTTGCCCATCCCACAGCATCACCAGTGTTATCCCAGCCCTGCCTGGCTCAGGCAGCCAGGTCCCCACAGGGTGCTCTTGCAGCAGCAGAGGTAAGCGCTGAGAGGACACAGCCCTGAGGTGGCCAGGGGGGAGCAGGGGCCACAGGGATTTGCTGCTGAGGAACAGGGGCATCGCTGCTGCTGCCCCAGAGACAGAGTGACCATGGACTGCTCCCCTCCTCTTCAGTTTGTGATGCCTGCCGCCCACTGCAGCATAAGTGGGGGGGCAGCTTCCTGACTTCAACTCTCCCCAGCCCACCACATGGTCTGGGGCCATGGAGGTGCCATCGGACTGAACCTGCCTCTTCTAAGGGCACAGTCCAACAGATGCAGCCTACATGACCCCTATCTGAAGAAGCTTTGCTATAGCTGTGCGCTCTGGTGGGCAAAGAAGAAGCTGAATTGTGCCATATGCAGGCACTAGATAAGGGCCATCCAATACTCAGTGAGATCAGACAATGATTACATTGAGTGTCCTGTCCTGCAACCTGCAACACTCTCCATGTAACTGATAAAGATGTTATAGTGTACCAGACCTAACAGACCCCTGGGGTACACCACGCATCATCAGCTTCCATCTGGACATAGAGCCATTTACCACAGCCCTTTGGCTGCAGCCATCCAACCAATTATTTACCCACTGAATAGCCCACTCTTCAAATCCTTCTCTCTTCAATATAGTGACAAGGATGTGGTGTCAGAGCGTATCAAAGGCCTTGCAGAAATCCATGCAGATAACATCAGTTGCCCTTCCATTGTCCACGATTCCATCACTTCATCATAGAATGCCACCAGTCTGGTTAGGCATGTAGTAACAGGATCAGGGGAAATGGCTTTAAAGTGGAAGAAAGTAGACTTAGACTAGATATCAGGAAGAAAATCTTTACTGTGAGGGTGGTGAGGTTGTCCTGGTTGTACCTGAACTGGTACAGGTTGTCCAGTGAGGCTGTGATGCCCTCTTCCTGGGAGGCACTCAAGGCCAGGTTGGATGGGGCTGTGAGCAACCTGGTCTAGTGGGAGGTGTCCCTGCCTATAGCAGGGGGCTGGAACTAGATGACCTTAAAGGACCCTTTCAGCCAAAACCATTCTATGATTCTATGATCTTCTCAGACACAGAGGTGAGATTGAAAGATATGTAATCCCCGGGTCTTCTTTTCTTCCTTTCATAAAAATGACGGTGATGTTTTCCCTTTTCCAGTCACCGGGGACTTTGCCTGACACCCAAGACTTTTCAAACACAATAGAGAATATGCCCAGGTTATTTCTTACAGGTGTTCAGAGACTCTGCACTAGCACCCTACTGACACCATGAAAAATGCAACACTGTGAAGTACTGCCCACGCTTTTGTGAATATCTATAGTGCATTAACAGCACATCTATCTATAGCTTTCAAGCTGCTCCTCAGCCTCACGATGGGCCTATTTACTCAGTTTCCATTTCAGATAAGGTGCAGATTTTCAGTGGAAATTGTTAGGGCAAAACTTAGCTATAATTTACCTAACATGACGGTGAAAACAAATAGCAGACGCATCTCTTGTCATTAAAAGATGATATAAAGCACAGTGACTGATATTTTGTATCATATCTTAAAAACTTTCTTTTTCCTCAGCTAAATCATAAATGTATTTGTGAAAGCTGATAATCCACCCTACTGGCCTTCGCTTCCCTTGAAGTAACACAATGGTGTCATCAAATAATGTAAAGACTGAGGCATGATTTCATGTTTGTTGCTTTTCACAGCCTTTTCAGCAGAGACAGAAATGACAGACTAAATATCTGCTGGTTTTGGTACTGTCTCAAAACTGAGAAACACTCAAGATCTACCATATTTGTTACCCTCTAGCCATTTCCTTATTTTATATTCTATGGTGTGTCTACCAACAGTGGTGTAATCCTTGTAGCTCTCATTTACGTTGAGCATGATAACCATCTATACTTCTCCCTTCTCTTGAATTTTCCATTTATATTCTGGCAAAACAGTACCTCTGTCCTAACCTAGCCAATGTAAACACAGACAATGTGTCAGCTATCTTCCATGTAGTTGCAGATATTTTCACTAGAATAAAATGTTTTGCGTTCTGATTACCAGAAAAGAGGTGATGGGTGTGTTGCTCCTGAGAATGAAGCTCTGAGACAAGCAAATCTTCATTTGTTCCTTAACCTCACAGAACAAAACACAACAATCACGTCACATCTTCGTGAGACTGAATTTCTCTTAACTTCCCCTCCACGAACCCCAGGTTTTAAAAACTGTGTGGCCCAACAACTTCATTTTTAGTAGTCAAAGAGAATACTGTAGCTCTTCAAAATGGTTCTGAACACTGATCCCCCAGGGACTGGATTAATATAACACTAAGGTGCTTACTGACAGAACAAGTACAGCTCCTCCAAGGAGGAAATCCATGTCCACACAGTCATGGCAGGCAGAGCAGTAAAAGTAAGAAAAATGCCTCAACCATGGGTGTTCATCAAGAAGAGTCCTCTGAGGACAAGCAGTAGTTTCTCTACACAAAGAGCACTTACCCTGTGTCCTCCCAGGACGTTTAACCTGAGCATCAGCCCACTGCCAGCAGTAACTTTTCCTGGGAGCCATGTGGAAAGGTGACCCAGACATATTCCTCTGGGCCATTTCCCTTCTTGTAAGCGCATCTGTCTGGTACCTGCACACCATGGTCCTGGGTGAGCTGGGAAAGGCTGTGTCTCCTGTTTACCTCAGCCGTGAAGTAGTGTACTGATCCATGCTGCTTCCCTCAGCATCATTAGCTGCTTTTTCTTTTTTTTCAGTTAAATCATAATTAACATCATGTAATTGAAATATTATCAGAAGTAGTTTTATAAAAACCTGAACGTGTCTGTGTTAATATTACAGCTCCTTACTGATTTGGAAATTCCCCAGTTCTTCAGTGTTTTCATTGCACATTGCAAATAGGCTTAAAAGTATTTTTTGTGCGGTATGAACCACATTTTACTTTGCTTTCTCAGTCTTTGCCTCTTAGAGGCAAGTCTTCACCATGCTTCCTTGGGAATGGTACAAAATATATGTTATAATCAATGGTTGGGATATCTTAAGCTGGTTCTGAATTGTTTGGAATCTTGCCTCTCGTTAACTATACCTAAATGAAGCTTCTGCCTTTTCCACTAACATGCAATGGGAATATACCACATGCTTTGGATCACATTTTTTCCTAAATTTTCTGATTACAACTTAAATCCCCACAGGAAGCTTTACAGCTTAACTGTTAGTTATGTTCTTTTATCAGTGTTGCAGGAAACCGATGGGACCAACACAGTCATTCAGAAAAATACTGCATGCCGTCTGGGATGCTGCCAGTATGAGACACTGGGAAGAAGCAATAAAACGCAATAACCTCTGGTGTTTGTGACTGGTTTTGTATGACAGAAATCTCTGGGCTCCCTCTCTAATTCTCTAATTTCTCAGAGCACTACAGATATCACAAAGCAGGTAAAACCCCTGACAGATGCTACATGGCACATGTCCATACCGCACTATTAGAGTTCCCCTGCACTCCTCTCATTTTGCACCAGACCAACCTGCCCACTTTATGGGTGACTCGACAGCCACGGGCAGGCAAGCAGCCAGGGATGCTGCATCTCACCTTTAAGGAGCTCTACAGCTTGATACCGCTAATTGAAAGAGAACCAAAGAGCATCCCTGGGGACTCAACCATTGGTTGTCCAGCCAGATTAATCATCAGCATCCCCTGGCATTTGCTGCTACTTACTGATAAACACTTTCCCCAACATCCGGGGTATGATTAGTAGAACAATGAAGGAAGCTGGGATGGGAAAAACTGCATCAGACATTGCTTCATCAGGCACTGTGCTCCAGCACCTCTGGAGCCCTCAGGTTGTACCCCAAAGCACATCACAGACACTCTGTGACAATAAAAGCAATGTATCTTTTTATTTAACTGTACAAGCATTAATGTTGATGCCTCCCACAGCTTAACACCACCTAGAGTGCAGGATGTAACCATCATCTAGCCTGGCTTCCTTATCTGCTGACTCTGTTCCAAGCTGGCTATTAATGACCTGCAGAAGTAAGAATTTCCATGTAATTTTAATCCCACATTAGCACCCTCACATACAGATAACATCATGGCTGCATCACATTTTCCACACAGAAAACTCCCAAAGGGATTTAGCAGCTGCATAACAAATAAAGGGATGACTTTATGTCTTCCTGGAATTAAACCAAGCTGACAGTGAAATACTGGTCATCTGTAGCAATATATGGCAATTTTATGATCATAAAGATTTAAAATGAGAAGTCTGAATTGCCTCAGTCATGTGAAATAATAAGAAAACTGGGTTGCTAGAATGGAATTCAGCCAGAGGGATAATAATCATGTCACTTGCAGTCAATACCCAGAAATCATTAAGGGACAGTACATCAATTCTGTGCCTCATTGGAAAGATGTCAAGTTCTCCAACACAATAGAGAAATTGGTCCCAGAGCTGACATATAAGGAATGGTGCCATCCCTTGAAATATAATAAAATAAGTAAAATAAAATAAAATAAATTATCAGAGACCCAAATCTACATCTTCATGGTGTCTGTCTGTTTTCACTGGTCCAGTTTAGTCAACCCAACACTGACAGATGATCATTCACTGAAAGAATGAAGACTAATTTGGAAGAGAAGGATACAAGATAAAGGAACATGAAGGATGGAATGTGCTCAGGTACCTACCAAAATGTGCTTGCTAATGAAGCATTTGGGGCTTCAAAGATACACCCAAAAAATTGCTTTGCTGTCCTATGAAACATAACTTGAGTGCTCAGGACTTTTTAATATATGTATATATTAAGGACTGCAAATCATACTTTTTTTTTTTTTTTGAGTTGCACTTTATATAATTTCCTCTCATCTCTGGAACAAAAGGGATTACAGTATCTTCACTGAGTCACTGCAAAACATGCGTCATAACATATACGGGTCTGTGGATTTTCTTAGAATAATCATTTCCATACAAGTGACATGGTCATACTTTTTTCAGGCTTTCTCATTGGACAATATTTACAAAAAGCCTTTGTTCATTGCTAGAACTATACTTTTTTAAAGTATAAGGAAATTTACTTAAAAACTGTTGGACATAGGCTTGGCAGCCCCCAGTCTCCTGCTGAGCCATCTATTTATAAAGTACCAGGCACAGAATGACTTTTAGGCACGAGAAAATTCAACCATAGTGTTGAACTCCCTGCCTTCCATTGGTTTCTAATGTTTTGGAGTATTGCTTTTGCACGATTCCTTGATCAAATATATTTAATGATGTAGGTATTTTACACTTTCCCCAAAAACACTGTCCTGTAAAGTATTTGCAAACTGATGAAATGTCATTTCTGCTTGTGCTGAAGTAAGTGGTGAACAGGATGACAAAAAAGCTGTGGCACAAGAACAGCTGGCCACCTTTCCCCACGTTTCTGTTTGAACTTGTTTTACCTCTGCATTCAGAACAGCATTTCAGAGTGAACTAAGCCATAAACACCCTTGGTTTCCATCAATACAGACTGAACTAAGACAGGCACCATGGTGAAACTTCAAAATCTAACAGGAACAAAAACTACTTTAAACATGTAGACCATCCTTTTTTACACTGAAGACACCCACTGCACTTCATTAGAATTTTTGTTCACACCAGACATACTGCTGCATGCAATAAAAAGTATCTCACCATTTACCTTCTAAATAACGGTTTCTGGTGATCCATTTTGCAGTTTAGGGATGTATGAGCTATAGGACTGCTTGGCTGGGCTGCCAAAATGCTATCCTCCCATACCACACTCACAAACGTCCTGCTGCCCATGGCTGCACTAGCACTGGTGCTCGTGGAGCCAGGCAGCAAGGGATTTAGACCAGTCAGAAAAAGACACCGCAACAAACAGCATCAGCTTCCCAAACTGGTCCACCAGTGGCCTCCACTCTGGTGCAGGCACACAGGCAGGCAGAGACAGACGGACAGACTCTGCGAGGCTCTCTGAAGTCTCACTAAGACTTCACCTTCCCGCCCAGACCCAGAGTGCCCACAGTCCCCATGGGGCATGGACCACAGTGCGAGGCCACCACCACTGCGCCCAAGACAAAAAATACCACATCGATAACAAGGTACCTGATCGGAGTTGCGGAAGGCAAACTCTCCGACCAGAACCTTTCACACACATCTCCTTCAGAGCCCTAGTGTCAACTCTGCTGCTCTGACAGCCGTGTCAGCTCCCCATGCCAAGCAGCCACAGGCCGGCTCAGGTCCCGCAGCGCAGCCGCCATGGCGCCGAGCCCGCTGATACGCCCCAACTGGCAGCACTGCGCTGCCCAGGCGATGGCCTGACGGATGCAGGCTGGCACACCTCCAGCCAGCTCGGAAGGACCGCCGGGCTGCATGAGGCCTCGCTCTGTGCCAGAACACGAGGGCAGCGTCCTGCTTGGCGGCGGAGCGGAAGCAGACCACCTCCGCTCGTGGGCAGCACTGCCCAGGCAGCCCAGCCTCCTCTCGCCAGCTCTGGCCCCCACAAATGGGGCCCCTCTCTGGGGTTCCCCAAGATGTTTGCTGTTTGTTTGGCTGCACATGAGAAATCAGCTCAGCAACACAGCAGTCCTGTGTCCCCACTGTAATGGCTGCGCACTGGGGATGAGTGTGAGCAAAAAGGAAGAAGTGCTGCGTTTCGCAGGGCAAAACAACGTCTGACAGCAGAGCTCAGGCAGAGCTGACCCACAGACCTGGCCAGCACGCAGCGTGGCAGCCCTGCAGCAAGTCTTCAGTGCCTCCTCACCGAGCACCTGCCTGCTCCTGGCCGTGCCCTCGCCCCTGGGCTGCTGACAGCAGGGACCGACGTGTCCCTTACAGCCCGAAGAGGCTGCCTCACACCCACGACAGCTCCCAGCCAGCGGAGCCCCAGCGCTCACGGCCACTCTCGGGGTGATCCCACCCGGGGCACGCAGCACTTACCCGGGCACGCTTGGCTGTGGTCGTGGCAGCAATCCCGGGTGCGCCGGCATCCTGCGTCGCAGTAGCAGCTCCCGTAGCCCCCGTCCTCCCTCCAGCCGCTGCTGACACACGCGGCGTCCCGGCCCTGGCAGCACCGCTCCGAGCAGCTCCCGTTGGCCCCGGCCAACAGCCGCCACAGCAGCCCCAAGCACAGCGCTCCGCTCAGCGCCGCGCCGCCCATAGCCCCGACGACCTCCACCGACACCCGGCGGCGCGGGGCGGGCTGGGCAGGCAGGCGGGCGGCGGGGCGGGGGGGTGGCGGCAGGGGAGGCTCTGCCCGGCCCTTCCCTGCCCGGCCCTCTCTGCCCGGACAGCGGCAGCCGTGGGCTCTGCGCGATGTGGGGGCATGTGGGAGGTGTGGGGCTGGAGTACGTGTTGCTGAAGGGTCAAGCGGGATAGTGACCCGCACAGCTATGTGCCGCACTGAGTTGTCCTGCATAGCCATGACCCTGCATGGAATAGTCATCGTCATAGAATCGTAGAATGGCTTGGGTTGGAAGGGACCTTAAAATCCACCACGTGGTTCCAACCCCCTGCCATGGGCTGGTTGCCACCCACCAGTTCAGGTTGCCTGGAGCCCCATCCAGCCTGGCCCTGAATGCCTCCAGGGATGGGGCATTTACACCTCCTCAAGGCAGCCTGTGCTAGGGCCTCATCAATCCCCAAGTGAAGAATTTCTTCTAAAGCCACTCTCTTTCACTATAAAACCATTACATCTTAGGCTATCACTACACTTGCTGATAAAAGAGTCCTTCTCCATTTTTCCTGTAGACTCCTTTTAAGTACTGAAAGGCCCCAAGGAAGTCTCCCTAGAGCTTTCTCTCCAGGCTGAACAAGCCCAGCACCCACACACTGTCTTCATAGGAGAGGTGCTGAAGCCCTCTGATCATCCTCAAGGCCCTCCTACAATCCCACTCCAACAGCTCCACATCTTTCTTGTGCCAGGGGCCACAGGTCTGGAGACAGTACTTCAGATGGGGCCTCACAAGGGCAGAGTAGTGGGGAATAATCACCTCTCTTACCCTGCTGGCTACCCCTCTTTTGATGCAGCTGAGGATAATGCTGGTCTTCTGGGCTGCAAGTACACTGCTGGCTCACGTCAAGCTTTTCATCTACCAGGATTCCCAAGTCCTTCTCTATCTCTAGGCTCCTCTCTATCCCCTCCTCATCCAGACTGGATTCAGAATCACAGAATTGCCAGGGTTGGAAGGGACCTCAAGGATCATGAATCTCCAACCTCCCTGCCACATGCAGGGCCACCAAACCTCCTCATTTAATGCTAGACCAGGCTGCCCAGGGCCCCATCCAATCTGGCTTTGAACACTTCCAGGGACGGAGCATCCACAACCTCTCTGGGCAGCCTGTTCCAGTACCTCACCACTCTCTCTGTAAAGAATTTCCCCCTGACATTCAACCTAAATCTCCCCTCCCTCAACTTAAAACCATTTCCCCTCATCCTGCAATTATCTACCCTTTCAAAGAGTTGATGTTTGGGATCATCCAGACCTGGGTGCAACACCTCGCACTTCACCTTGCTGAACCACAAATTGTTCCCTGTGGGTGGCATCCCTTCCCTCCAGCATGTCAGTATCACAGAACCATGGAATAGCTGAGGTTGGAAGGGATCTCTATAGGTCAGATGATCAAGCCCATTGCTCAAACAGTGTCACTTAGAGCAGGTTGCCCAGGAAATTATGTCATGTTTGCCAAGCTATGTCCCTCAAAGCAACATGTCGGTGATGACACCCACAATGCACACAGAAGTGACCCTCATAGCAATGTCCCTCATCGCAGTGTTCCATACACTGAACACACAGTGATGACCTTTTCAGTGGTGTCCCCAGCTGGACTGATAAATGCTGCAATGTCCCACACAGCTGTAGCCCACTTAGTCCCACTCACATGTCCCACCATGTCCCACACAGCAGTGACATGCACCACAGGGACCCACAGTAGCAACCCACAGTGTTCTCCACAGCAGTGTCCTGCAAAACAATGTCCTTCACAGCAATGTCCCACATTGTACTTACTCCCACAGCCACGTCCCTCACAACCCACACCCTGATGACTCACAGCAGCACCCCACATAGTGACATCCCACACAGTGACATCCCACATAGCAGTATTCTGCACTATAGTGACTTGTAATCATGACAGCTGCCCCTGAGCTCCCTGTCCATTTCCACACAGCCAGGATGACCTGAGGGCACCGGACATGCTTTATTGGTACAGGCACTTCTCATTTCAGGACACATCCCACACAGCCAGGAGCATTTGATTCTGATATGTTTTCATTTTTCAGGAAAGAGAGAAAAGCTCTCTTTCCTGAACAGACGAAGCAAGATGTACTTGCAGGTGCACAAGGAAAGGGAGACAGATCCCAAATAACTTCCTGAAACATGAAGATTCGGGTTCTGGTTTTCAGTTATCTCCAGCCCTGAGAGATCTCTAGGATTAATGGGACCTGATCTTTTTAGCCAAAAAATCAAATCCCAAAAGCAAATGGTGATGTGAGTGTAAAATTATGTTAGCCTTGCACACTTCCATTTGCAGATATTTAGCTACTAAAGCTAGAGACATCTGGTCTCCCAAAGCTGTGCAGAGGCAGGAGGTAACAGTCTGTTATATTATCTGCTACATGTGGGTACTTGGACCCCCCAAGACAGCTTGGGCCAGCCAGAGTTTAATTTCTTCTAGCAGTCACAACACCAATGTTAAAGTGTTATGTAAAGCCCAGAGGGCTGAGTCTGTGCTGCTCTCCAGCGTGCCACTAATGAAGTCACTGGACTTCTGCCAGCCTAAAAGTTGACCCTACAGAGTTAAGTCGGGGGAGTTCCTGTGGTGGGTGAGAGGAGAACAAGATGTGCAGCCTGCCGTCCTTAAAGGCAGTGTACGAGCAGGAAGGCCTCACTGTGTTTTCTGTTATGGGATTCCTGTGGTTCACCTAAAAGACACAATATTAGCAAATTGATGTAGAAACTGCCTTTATAAGCAGATTAATGGTGTGCAGAAGACTTACGCTAAAGAGATAATTCGGTAAAATTTGGATGAGTTGGGAACAGAGTAAAGAGCAACTTTATCTTAGAGGATATGTTTACAGAAGAAAAAAAAATCCACCAAAATTCTGCTTCTGCAATGGCCTATTACAAGAAGAAAGGAATGAAAGTGTTAAAATTTCTACTAGGTGCAGTAAAGCAATTTCTTCATTGCACCCAGAAAGAGGAGTCTTAATTACGGGAGAGAAAAATACTCACTTTATTGTAGCAAATACCTTGCTTTTTCCCTGTTCCAGTTCCCTGCTATTAGGGGCAGTGCTGGGCAGCTTCTGAGTGGGAAGGACAAAAACACAACAATGTGTTCTGGGGGCACTGAAGCAGTACTGAAAAACCTACTGGCAGTTCCAGCAAAACAGGCAGAGATTTCTTTCTCTTGACATGAGTGGGTCCACAGAAAGGAGGTGTTGCTCATACCCTGCCATTGGTTATCTTTTTGCCATGGAGACATCTTTAATTATAAGAAAAAGCAGTTTTGGAAAGGCAGACGTAAACAGGATGTGTAGGTAAGCTTAGGGAATGAGCAGAGCCTTTGCTCTGTCCCTGTCGTAAGCCATGGAGAAGCACTGTTCTTCACATACTCTTGGTGCTAAAATAATTTGCCTTGCTCCCAGAGGTGAGGAGGAATCTCAGAATTGTGCTGTAGCTCCCTCAAAACAAGATATTCCTGCTAGCTACGCTGCTACCCTCTCAAGCTCAAGTTGCCAGCCATTTTTGTATTTTTCTATAATTTCTGCCCTATTTCAGCTTTTGCTCTTCAAAAGGGAAGTCCCAAAACTACGACATAACTGCAGAATTGTGTGGTAAGAGGGCAGAAAAAACAAGACTGTGAAACATGCTTTTCAAGTAGTTTCTCTTATATGTAAATGGTTCCAATGAGCCTCATTCCATTGTTTTCGTACTTCCAAGCAAATTGTTTCCATTGCCTTAAATGGAGTTCTCCTTAGTTTTTAATACCACAAGGACAAAACTGAGCCAAATGAGTCCCAACAGCAAATTAGGAAGAGAACTAGTCTCAATTATTTACCATACTTACCAACTCTCCTCTCTACCATGGTACATCTACTCTAAAGAAGAATTGTGAAGCAGAGCCACTCTCTGTCCATTCCCATTGAGCACCTCTACCTGTAACATCAGACAGAAGACTGACCACACCTGCAACTGGGAAAGGCTTGAGTCTGGGAACAAAATTCTGTTTGATAATAAAATAACTTTCTTTTATTTTTCAGGTTTAGCTTACAGCCACTGTGCCTTTGAAGGCCCGATATAGGGACTATTCAGCAAAACTTCAAAGTCCTATTCAGATATATTATCTGTCAGCCCGTAGCATTCCTCATGCCCACACCTCCTCACGAGCAAACTCTTTGGAAAGTCCTGACTTGCACAAATGGAGCACATTTTTGTTTGCTGCTAAGAGGTTAATCTGAAGGCAACTAAATGAGAAGACTTCAAAGATCTTGCAGGGCATTTCTTTTTCTTTTAGACCTATGTTTGCATACAGTTCTTTTCCCTTCTGAAAGCAACCTGCTTCAATTTTAAATTGGGACTATGCAATGAATGATGTGACCACAAAGGCTGTGGGCTGTCTCTGTTCTGCAGAGGTATGGTGCTTGGGAACACCAGTCAGCCACAGCCTGCACTGGCTTCAGAGGCCTTTGTTCCCATTGTTCTGGAAAAGGAGACTTTCTCCTGATAAGAATTAATCCCCACTCAGGTGAATAGCCAAAGCATGGTATTGCTGACATTGCTTAAAGCAACAGCAGCATTTCACAGGTAAGAAAAATGAGGAGCAATTTGTCTTTGCTAACAACTACTCACTGTAGGAACGCTGTAGATGACATACAAGAAAGCTTTTATGGTTTCATAGTCCATACTGTTAGATATTCAATGACTAGCTTGAGCTGTTGTACACTGAACTGCTGTAAGAGTGCATGCTAAGTACCTGGGGAAAAGTCATCTGCTATAGAAACAGCCTTTACCTTGCATCCTCTTTGCCCTGGAAGCCCTGACGGATGAAGTCCTGCCATGGGAGCCACAGTTACATGCTACATCTCAATTACAATCATTGATTTTGGCTGGGGCTGGTAATGATGCATGAAATTACTTGAGTTCTGGAGGTTAGTGGGAACAGAGCAGAGCTATCTGTCAGGATAATTTTAGCTGGTTTCTAAAGGCTTTCACCCTTCTTGAAAGTTACTGAAGAAATTTCCAAGTATTGGGATCAACACAGAACTACTGCTGAGCAGAAAATGTCAGGCAAATCTGTACTCTCAGGCTAAATGGGGTTGAAAGCTATCCCTGCTGTGGCTTCTTTGGGAGTTTTCCTTTCTCAGGTTCAGCTGAACTGAAGTATGTGAGCCAGCATGAGGATGGGGAGGCAGCCCAGGTCAGCAAGGCAATGGGAAGCCAGACTGCTGCAAGGCTGCATCCACCAGCAGCAATTCACAGTTACACTGGCTTGACCCTCTTGTGGGACTTTTCTCTAAGTTGACCAGGCCACAACTATATCTTTTGTCTGCATAAAGAGAATGTGGATTATGAAGTGATATTAGCTTAACTGTAAGTATACTTCTGCATGTTAGTTCTTATTTTTTAATCCTAAATGCAGGTATAATCTAGAAATGCCATCGTGATGCCATTCCAGTTCTGTTTGTTTTTTGTTTTTTGTTTTTTTGTTTGTTTTGTTTTTGGTTTTTTTTTTGTCTTAGTGATGTTAAGAACAATATTCCCCAGGGATTGCTTTTAGGAGACCAAGTAAGTACCTGGCTACGTTTGACAGAGAATGTTTGTAGCAGAAGCAGGGACGCATAAAGTGATGACTTTGCCAACTCCTGGTGCTGGAGAGTCAGCTTGTCCTGATTCTTCAGGCCAAAGAGTGTTTTCAAAAACTTTGCTCAGGTGTGAAGGCATCTACTCACTATGCCACTTGATTCCCATTTGTTATCTGCAGAGTTTATCAGGTGGTTTTCTTTTTCAAATGCACATGCTCAGCCAGAAAAAGATAAGGTGAGTATTTAACACACTCTTCAAAACAGAACTACTTATAAAAATTAGCATCCCAAGATATTACTTCACATACTCTCCTATTTCTCCTGCTACTGAGTTGTTTCATAGCTACAGGCTTCATCTTTTCTGTAGCTGTGACAAAATCAATTACTTCACATCTTGATGGAAGTATCGTTACCATTAGGAGCCAGCAATAGAGAGATACAGCTGCTATCCTGCAAAGCACTTGAACACAGGCATAACCTGATTACAGCCCACTGGCAGGACTGTTTGCTCCTTCCAAGTTATGTGATTTACTGAACCAGGGCCTTCTGCTTTGCCTGAAGGTTCCCAGTGACACAATTCCCCACATCCCAACCTCTGCTCCCCTGGCATGCATGCTGCTCTGTCACTCATGGCAAAAGGGAGCCCTGATGTTGGCCCTTTTGCCAGGTTAGAAATCTGAAGAGATGCATAGCTTATCCTCAGATTCATCATTTAAAATCATGCAAAACTCCAGATCGCCTTTGCATTGCTTGCTGGTTTAAACTCTAACCATTGTTAGCATAGTCCCAGACTGAATCTGTTTATTCCTTTCTCCATTTTCACTTCTAGTAGCAAAGATTTAGCATCTTGTATCCAGTGAACAATTTTGAGGTTGGTGTGTTTTTCAGGGAGGAATTCTGCTACCCCTCCTGCAGTTGATGAGCATGCTGTGTTCACAGTGATAAACACCCTTTCCTGTCAATGAGGAAAGCAGGAATAGCAGTGAGTGCATGAAATTAGGGCACTGAATAGTTGAGAAAGAGTCATTTTTTCTGATCATAATCCCACTTTTAGAAACCTCTGCCAATCTTTCCACTGGTCTAATGAAAAGGTGGATTTTGCTGACTTGAATAATTTGTAAGTAAATGATGATTCTGTTGTCCAGGAGCTGGCAGGGGAAGCTGTTTATATAATTCTGGGCTTGCTAATAACCCTCTTCATAGCTAGAAATGGTGCCAGGGAAGCTGCTGGCTATGTAAAAATGCTTTCACATTTCCTTGCCTTTATTGTTTTCTGTCACAGGCTGTTTTTCTTTTTTAATTAGTACTTGAGCTATTTTTAGTGTCTGTAGATAAAAAATGTATTGTTCAGGCTAAAATGAGGCCAGGTACCATGAAAATGTATTCAGGAAAAAAACATTTGGAGCCAGGGTTATTCTTTGGCTGTGCACAGCGAACGTT